GATGGCCAAACTTCATCTCTCATACTTTGGACATATTGTCAGGAGGGATCAGTCTCTGGAGAAGGATATTGTGTTTGATAAGGTGGAGGGTCAGAGAAAAAGAGGAAGACCCCCAACGAGATGGACTGGCCAAGTGGCAGCATCGATGGACTCAAGTGTGGCAACAGTAGTGAGGTTGGCCCAGGATCCATCAGTGTTTTGTTCTGCTGTGCATAATGGGTCGGTACCAAGTCAATGGCACATAACAACAACAACAACCTCTAATAATGTCATCCTGTGAGGTCTGACTTCCCCTAGTGTAGCAACTGATTGGGATCTTTCTTCTATTATCAATTTTATTGAAAAGTCTATTTGTGGTTTTGCAATTATACCGATAACTGGGCTTCAACTAAAATCTAAAGTATTGTTTTGTGCTGTTTGTTGCTTTTGATTTTTAGGAGCCTTAATCCTAATAACTCAATCTTGTTATTCTTTTAAATATGCTGTTGTTGTTGTATGCCTTTGAGTAGGTTCCAACTCATATCGATCCTGTATAGGATTTCCAATAGCGACTGGTGGATCTGAACTGCTGACCTTGCAGTTACCAGTCCAGTGCTTATCTTACAGTATCTTTAAATATAACTTATTATTAATTATTCCAAAAATCTATTTGAATAGAGGGAAAACATGTCTTAAGTTCACCTCTTTTTTTTTTTTGTCTTGGTGAAAACATTGCTTACCTAGAGCCAGTATGCCCAATTTCTAATTCTGTGTTCCCAATTTCTTATTAGCTTTGGTGGCCTTGGGTAACTCACCCAACCTTTGAACCTCAACTTCCTACTCTGTAAAATGGGAAGCAAGAATTAGCTCTCTCAACCTCAAAGGAATGATGTGGAGATCAACAAATCTTATCAATGTATTGTTATCTGTTATAATATTTATATAACCTTAACAATGAAGGGAGGGCCAGGTAGCGTAGTGGTTACGAATCGGGCTGCGAACCTTAGGGTCAGCGGTTCGAAACTACCAGCCGCTCCGCGGGAGAAAGATGAGGCTTTCTACTCCCGTAAAGATTTACACCCTCGGAAACCCTGTACAGGGTCGCTATGGGTCGGACCGGACTCGATGGCACTTAACAACAACAACAACAACAACAATGAAGACACTACAAAGAAATTGTATTAACATAAAGGTCACTCCATATGCATGCCAACATGTATGTTTGGTTTTTCTGTGGAACTTGGGGAGGAGTATCAGAGTAAACAAAGAGTGTGTACTTGTTGGCAGCATTAGCTGTCAAACCCATGGGGTGAATAATCCACATATCTTCCAGAACACAAATGAAAACAATGATATTATGGAAGGTTGCCATCTTAACCAAATCCTCAGGTCCAAATGCATGACTTTTTGAATAACTAAACAACCAACAAGAAAACTATAAAACAGGATTCCTCAATTATGTTGGGTTTTAGTTGAAACCAAAATTTAGCAGGCTTTCTGGGAGGGAAGAAAAAAGTTGTTGGCTGTTTATACATCTACAACAACTAAGTATATATCTTATTTTGATAATAAAAACACATTTTTAAATGTTAAAAATATAGAATGGTAAAAGAATCACAGTGTGATCATTAAGGTTTTTAATCAACTTGATGATCCCAGGATTCCTAGTGGTTTGGCAGTTGAAATGTAGCAATTCCATGGTGTGATTTGATGTGATATACCAATATGAGGTGCATATGATACACCACCCTTAGAGTCCTGGGATGGCACTACAGGATAATCACTGAACTGCTAACACCAGGTCGGCAATTCAAACCCACCTCAAAAACTCTACACAGGGTGGCTATGAGTCGTAACCAACTCAACATCACAATCAGAAACACACACACACACCTTAATCTCATCACTATCCTCTTCTGATTTATGGAGATTCCCCAGGGTGTACATGCAGGTCTTTTACAATAGGAACCTACTACCACCGACATAGGAGATAGTGGAATATGTTCTTTGGACCTCAGGTCCCTTCATTGTGAAGCTCCTAGATGAAGAGGAAGATTGATCCCAAGGCACATGGAGAACTTCAAGGAATGCTGGACCTACAGATACTGAGAGGAGACCAGAATTTGCTCCAGAGCTAGTGCTCTGAATTCAAGACTTCTAGCCTCCTAAAAGAAGAAGATCCCCAATGAGATGGATTGGCACAGTACCAGCATCAATGGGCTCAAACGTACCAACGATTACGAGGTTGACCCAGGTTCAGGCAGTGTTTTGTTCTCATAGTGATCCTTCATG